CTTTAACTAAATGTAAAGGGGAGTATCCCATCACACTTGGTAGATGCTCATCCGAAACCATGACAGGTTGGGAAAATTTCGCCTGCATGATTCTTGCAGTGTTCTTTAAACTGCTCTTTGAAGCCTATTTCTGCTTGCTGTGCTTTTGATCTTGATTAGCACAATATTTCTTGTCGGGGAAGAGTCTGACTGCTTATGTTTCCGTAGGATGTTACACGTTGCTAAGAGGTTTCTCAGCCTTTGTCAGATGACAACTTTTACTGATCTATCGCGTGGGAGGATGACCTCTGCAATGCTTGTATGTGCTTGTAGTAACGAAGGTTACCGTGGAGTGCAAACTCCATCGTAGAGGCTATAAGATTCAATTAACTGTGCCGAGAAAACCCTAACACTGCTACTATGGTGCTCCGACAATATCGCACAGCAGTCTGTCATGCTGCACCCTCGTGATATCCATCGCAGTTCTCCGCTTCATGTAGGATGGTTTACACGGCATTCAGGGGTCACTGAGAAGCAGTCATAGCCAGCTTATTTTGGTGACCAATACGATTCATCATGATAAAAATTTCTCTTTGCCCGCATTCAAGTAGATTCCAGTCAGCCTTCATTCTTGTTTGTCATCACGTATACGAATAAGAAAGGCAGCTTTAAGGCATCTGGGAAAAAGCAAGCAAAAAATATTTTGTAAAACACACCCCGAACACTCAGTAAGTATGCATGTTGTTTGCAATAGGTCAAAACCTAGTGAATCCAGCACACAAACACACTTAAACTCTCGATTTATTTTCTAATTCGGGAAAAAATTGGCATAAATTAGCGTGAATACACATTAGCTAGTTATAAACTAGAGGATGGATGGATGAATGGTATTATTCAAGCTACTGGTACTGATTAAATGTTCAGCGGTTTAATCTTTGTTTCCCATTCGAAAACCTAATTGCTTTTCAGGCTTGAATGTTCAACGCATCTCACGGGGTAGATTCGCGCGCAGGAGGAGATAAATATGAAATTACCGAGGAGATGTTTATCGTACACACAGTTTCCATAGTTACCCTAATTACAGGTGTTCCAGCATAGAAGGTTAAATGAGAGAAAATTTGGGCAGTATTAATAAAGAGAAATATGTTTTCGATCAAGTGAGCAGGTGGTCTCCATTTCAAGGCACTATTTAATGTACGTCGACATTCTCCTGCATTTAGGTCAGAATGATACTATCCTAATTTCGCAGTTTCGGTGTGGAAGGGGTGCATTCAGAGCAATAGGGATGATTTAGTACGTTCTTCAGATGCTGCTTAATAAACTCTTTCTTTGGTCTAAAAGTAGTCAAGTGTGGCCAAATTACATATTTTGAAGCAACTTATAGGGAAAAGACTTTGGAAGCAATTTTATCCCAAACAAGCGGGGTAAATTCAAAATAATCGTCTTTGCTCCAACTTCTCTTATTAACACTGAAGATGTTATACGTAGTGGATAATTTACTCTCAAAGAGTAAAGAAACAATAACAATTCCTCAAACCCTCTGTATTACATCAAATAGTTTCGAAATTTATTTACAATAATCTCCTTTTTTCTCCATGTTATAACGAGGGTGATAAGTTGTAGACCAGGTAACTTTAGGAACGAACAATTTATTAATTAATATTTGCCCTAGAGATATTGCAGGTTTCGCATAGGCGGTCATTTGCGTTCACAGAGTCATGACCCGATGGAGGTCGAAACGCACACCGCTTTTTAAACGCCTTTGACCGAAGCACGATGAATCACAGAGCCCCCACACAAGGCGAGTGATAGAGATAGCGAGAGAAACGATGAAATTGAGAGATAAATAGGCACGTTCATACGGAGACCTTGCGAGGAGTTCAAGCACCCGACTACTTCATTTTGTCCACTTAGCACTAATACAAACGTATATTCACAATCTCCAGGTCAATAATAGGGGGGAGGGGGGTATATTGATTAATATTGCACCGGAGAAGCCCCTTAGACCCTTGTAAAGTTTATAAAATTGCCCATTGACATCGCAAGTATCGATCAGAATTGACAAGACTGATCGAGCTTCAATACCTTACCCCTTATATGTAGACCTGAACTATCTAAAACCCATTTTAAAATAGGCCTTTTAGATTAGGAGATAGAGTCAACCTGGAATTATTTAAAACAGGTTAAATCAATTTGGTCTTTATACCTTTGTATGAAAAAATGATGGGAAGTGACAAGGCAAACCGTCTTAGTTACTAGACATCTCATTAAGGACCAGGTAACGCGCTAAATAGAATTTATTCACCAATCTAAGTTGCCGAATCATAGAATTCGTGTTTGGAAATTGAACAACCCATCGTAAATCACCGAATAAAGGTAGACTCTTTTGTTACTTCTACTTTATTATCGCCTTTTTATCTTTATTTATTTATTATTTTATTTATCTCTATGGCTTCATGGTGGCTTTCGGTGTCTATGTTTGAATTAGAAGTTGAATTTATTGGAAAGAAGTAAATCCGTCGTGACTTCTTTGAGTTACGATTGCCCTAAATATCCCACGACATTAAAAATGGCGTATATTTCGATCTAGGATTGGTCGACCTTAAAAATCCTTATGAATATTTCCAATCCATCATATTTCTCCCCTTTCAGCCCCTACTTAACCTCATTTCGTTAAGGATCCATTAAGATGATTTTTGATAAACTCAAATTGGAGGTCGTTAAACTGATTTTATCTCCCTCTCTTAATCCACGTGTCGTCCATTTGTCACTTGGGGATACCATTGAGTAGCTTTCAGATCCTTTTTTCTAAAAAAATACTTTAAATTTTTCGTACGAAGGTGTGTTCAAGGCTTTCCAATTACTCTTAATTGACTTTACCTACCTACTTCTTATGACGTATATCGCATTCTAAAAACTGTATGAAACACACGCGCAGATCTTACGTGTCGTAAGTACACCCTGCTGCTGTGGGAATGACCTAACAAGAAGATACCACGAGGGTGGTAGAGTGAAAGGGGATGATTAAGGAGGAGCAGAATTTGAGGGAGGGTAAGAGGAGAGGGGTACTACCAGATGGTGCACTGATTGCGATTTTATGATAGACCTGGTTTAACAATCTGCGTGTACACTTGCTGACTGATCGACTGCTAAAAATGTACAACTTTAAAACTACCTTCCTTAAATCTCTCTCCCTCTCCTTTTCGCCATATAGTTTCTTAATGTAACAAATAAATCTCCAAGTAGAAATAACAGAGGCTGTTGATCCACTAACTAGAGCACTTTACTGCTTGTCAAATGTGTCTGGCTGGCCAGTGTGCTGTATTTCTCTTCTCCGTAGGGAATCAGCAACTGCCACCGTAAGAATGAAAGACTAAGACTTACTATAACAAGGTTTCGAGTAAATTACTTCACATAAAAAGAAACGCAATTTTCAAGGACGATTGAGAAAGGAATCTTCTTCTCTGCAGCAGCGACTTTTTTATCCACGGTATGACCAGTTTACCTTTACTCCATGAAATAGGTTAAGAAAAGAAAATTACACATTTGAAAGATAGGTAACTACAAAATTTTTGCACTTAAACTTTCCATCGTAAAATTCGGGTTAAGCAGTAATAAGTAACTTAATATTTGCAAACGTCGTTTCTTATTAATATTGGATACATTTAGACTCAGAGTTGCTTGACCAAAACTATTTTATTTTTATTTTTTCACTAAATTTTAAGTAGTTTTTCAATAATTGAAAATGACGTGTAATCCTACAATTACCAAGTATGTGCTTACACGCAAGCATGCGAATATTAATATTAAATTAAATCGATCGATAAAACTTTAGTGCTAAAGGCGCCACCAGCATGTGAGATAATGACACGTTTCGCCAAAAACGAATCTTCCTTAATAAGAAGTCAATTTCAATGTAACTAGACCGTCTAGTTTCAAATTTTGACCATTTGATATCTTTTGAGAACATTAGTCTAGTATTAAGGCGAATTGCACAAATGAACTACGTTTGATTATAGTTCACAATGGTTAATAGTTGATTTCTGTTATTCTATGGATTTACAGAAAGCGACATATGTAATCATCAATAAATTATTCTAAACATCGCCATACTGTTAAAATGTGAAGTCAAGCTTATTTTGATTCTTTGTCTGTACCAAAGTAATTACCATGGGAAGATTTGTCTCCAGAAAATTGCCGAAGTTTAAGCAAAAATTATTTTACAGCTTTATAAACTGTTATAAGGCCGACCAATAGTAAGGCACCCTTGATGACCTTAAGTGAGCCAATCACAATCGGAGAATGTAAGACACGTGTAAGTAAACCTCGTGATTAATGTCTTCACACCACTGTTATTTTTAAGAAAATATTGATTTCTTCTCTCAATTTCAAAAAAATTTAATGCCAATCACATGTTAATTATTGACTGCAATTGAAATATCGAAGTTTGGTTTTCTTTAAAGACTAGAATACAACTTAATTAGTGGAATAATTAGTTTAGAGATAAATGTTAGGAAGCTAATAGCAAAGATAAAATTTTACGCAGTCATGCATTGCCTTTTGTTCCTATTCAAATGGAATAAATAGTGTAAAATTGCTGCCCTTTATCCCCGTATTTCCCATCTATTAGCATTCAGTGAACTTGTTAATGTTTAAGCTTTTCTGAGCATTAGAATGTTGGACAGAAGAAAAAGATAATCGGTTGAGAAATTTACACGTGACTACAACATTAGGCTCATTGACAAGGCTTTTCACTACGAACTTCATTTACAGCTCTACCGTTGCGTGTGCCTTTTCTTGGGCTGCGCGCGTGTCAGCGTATTTGCGACTGTATAACTCCAATTCAGCATCTGATTGGTTAATGTATAATGCGTTTTTACAACGAGCTATGCTTTCCAGTGGCTCTATTGATTGCGCGCTAGCCAATAAGACACACGAAAGCTTGTTATAAATTACGCGTCTAGGTAGCATTCCCATTTGTAGCAGCTCACGCTTTGATTTTTCGGGTTCGAGTTCCCCTGATGAGTGAATCTCTCTTACAAGATGGACTCCTATTATTGCTCCAAGCTGCAGAGAAGATAGATCGAGGTTAGTTCTCATTCGTCTATCATTTGTATGTCTCCATATGATTTCCTCGCGAAACACGTGTTTTACATGCTCTCATTATTTTGTTTGCATTAGAGTCTTCAAAAAGTGCGTATCACCACTCAGAGCGGTGGGAAGCGCGCAATGGATCAAGTAGGCGCCTTTATGATGATGGTGCTACACATTATTCATCGTCATATTCATTTTCGTCTGTACATAGACGCAATGCCCCCTCAACGAGATGTACCCACAATGAGCTTGAGAAAAGCCGGTATGCATCTCTTTCAGCTATCTTCTAATGTGATTTAAAACAGGCGTGCGCATTTACGAACCTGTATGGATGCCCTGAAGGAGCTTTTAATTTTTGATAGCGAGGCTCCCAGGATCACTACTCTAACGGTATTACGAAAAGCAACTTCTACTATTCAAGTATGAATCATGTTCGATATTGATTTACATTTTGATTATTTTTGCTTACTTCAATGCGTCATGTATTTCGATTACTATAGCAACTACAACAAAGAAATGAATACCTTGAGGCTTGTGAAGATGGCGAGAAGCATCGATTTTCACAACTCATGAAACGACGTCAAGCTTTACGTAAAAAGATTGAAGCGAAACGTAATCGCACTCTGAAAATTCAAAATTGGCGTGAACGCAACAGGAATTACTCTGAATGCTCAGTTCTAACGACCTCTTCCGGTAAGTAGCCTCATGCAATCCCCCATTTTACACATGGCCTTTATGACTTATTGCGTAAAAATGTATTTTATCGTTTATCTCATTATCTGTCATTTGAGGTTATATGATTAAGTCTTGAAGCAAGTAAGTTCGGGCTCATGTCCAGCATTTTGAAAGCCTTTTGTTTTTACACTCTTTTCTTTTTCTCGGACGATATTACTTATGTTATTTAATGGTAACAAACTGTATGAGCCTAATACGAGTTGCTATCAATAATTTGTTATATATTTAGTGCATTTAACTTATATTTCAGCGATTTAAGCATATTGAGCCCCTCGTACTAGTTCTCGTGATTGTTATGTGACGGCTTAGTTCCCATAAATGATGTACTCCCGAGTTCACTGGTTTGGTTGCTCCTACATGAGCTCCTGATATTAATTTGCCTCAGTCTTATTATGCTAATATTAAGTTTTCTCTATTTTCAGAGGATTCTGAGATGGATTACGGATCTCGCCATATGCCTTCGAATATGTATAGCATTTTGCCTCAATTCTGTGCAATTGATAATCATCGTTACGCTTCGCCAGTCGTCACAGCTAAGACTGAAATGCTGAAGGCCATTTCAGATTCCGTTGTGGCGTCAGCAACGACGAAGGCAACGACCTATGCAGTATACCATCACAACAAATCGGAGGAGAAAACGTCAATTGGCGCCACAGGACTGAGCCCAACAGATGCCTACGATGCAAGCAGTTCTGACTCAGGGTTCGAGGAGGTCATTACAGCGACGAGTGCCTCAGATGATCAATCGGCTCTCAAGATGGAACCACCAGCAATTTCCAACACTGAAGAGGTGGTCTACACTGCTGCTGCGAATGGTGGCAGTGAATATTTCAAAGCCTATTGAATTTTGTCTCACTGTCCCACAACTCGCTGTTTTGTCTTACCGTTTTGCCATTCTCAGTTCTCTCATTATTCCCTTCTCCTCCAAAATATTTCCTTCACCTCCTTGTCCCTTGTTCCCAATTCTTCCCAACATAGATCTCTTTCTGGCAGCCATGATGAGATGATAGGAGCACGCTGCGTGTCATCTCAGTATTCCTCTCCAAACTGCGCGCGTACTTAAGGTTGTATACGTATGAATGTGTGCCAATGTATGTGTGTATGGATGATCTCAAAAAAATAATACTGTGAAAGGCACTGATTCTCTGTCTCTTGTCAAACACGCATGCACTTACCATGCACAGAAATCGATATCGGCTAAGGTGTATGTACGTAATCCTTTCCCCTCACCCATCTTACCTTATTGTCGTCTCTCCCTCTCGTGGTATTGCTTCTCATGGCGGAAAACTATTTTATTACAATGCAAAGACTCCTGTCATCTCTTGTTTCTCGCTCCTCTTCTGATTTATAGTAGGGTCTACATTGATTCAACCTGATGAATGCATTTCGTCCAGGGTGTTTCCACCTGGGCTGTTTATGATGTTAGGGTCTTCCTTTGTGTAATGTATGAAACTTCTTGTTTTTCCTTTTCTCCTTTTTCCGCCTGCCCTAAATGTTTGACAGAACAACGACAATCTCTTCTCACTTATTGGTCAAGTCAATTTTACTGAGAGACGTAAAAATCTCGAATGAATCTACTTGTCTTTCAACAGCAATAGCAAAAGCAGTGTGTGACCATAATTTATTCTGGGTGTCTCTAACGCTAGTGGTATTTTATTTCTCTACTATCCTCACAATTCTCTTTCTTTCCTACTTCGAATGTAAGTGTGCGCTCTTAAATGGATGTGTGTTAGTAGATAACCGAAAATGTCTTCTGCCATCTGAGAGAACAGAAGAAAGGAGTATCAGGATCTGTTTTAATATCTGTGATCTTCACTTCCAATTTCTACCCTGTCTTCCCCCATCTCTACTTTCCTGTTCAACTCATGATAAATCTGTTTTACAGCCTACCGTCTCAACATAGTTGGACATCCGGTGTCGTCTAGTGGGCTTCGTGAAAGGTCTGATGACGAAGCCAGTTGGTAAACACTACCTCCATACGCCAGCCTCAGTAAAGTAAGCTAAAAGTCGCGTACAAATACTGAGTGGCAGCAATTCTTACAGAAACGGAATTTGATTGTAAAGTGGTGGATGCGTTCTCATTCCCTGACCTCCACTTCACTCCCCTATTTTTCCCATACACGCAGCACGTTTTGTCAAACTTCCTTTCCTCCCTTCCAACCCTATAGTGTTATAAAACACTCCTCATGCTATTAACACTACTTTATCGTCATACAGTTAATGTATTTCCTTTAAAATCTCATCTATCTATTTTTTGTGTACACTAGCCTAGGTAGAATGGATTGTGGGTTGTCTAAATCTGGGCTAGAAATTTTGTACGCGAATTACCGATCAGCTGATTCGCACGTGTGTTGTATGCAAGATTATCGATTTTCTTAAATTTCTTTTGTTAGCACGCTTACCATTTGGACAAGAAGTTAGAGCACTTTAAGTAATGGAAAATGGAGTTAATTTTTATGGGTGAAACTACAGTGCGCTATAAAATTTTTTACGGTTTTTCATCCCACGCTTAGGTTAGAATTGTCAGTACACGTGTAAGTGTAGCTAGTCAGTGGAAGTTACAGAACAGGAGGGTGATATTTCCCTAATTTTGATATATTTGCCTCGTGCTCTATTGCGGGACGAGTAAAAAATCAGCACTGTTCAACCTCGATGTTGTCTTACCCTCTTTATACGCGAGTCTATAAATGATGTTTCTTGTTTGATCCACTAAATTTACGAATTTCGAACCTATTTTGCTCCTGGTCATCTCTATATGCGCTTACGTATAAAATCAATTCGTGTAAATGTCGTAGATGTCGTGACAATGCAAATTAGAGGGAATTACATACGCACTAGCTTTCGCGGGGAATGCTTAATGAGAGAGCTGTTGTGATCAAGATTTCATCAAATCACTCTTTCCATGTTCGTATCGGCGCCTAAATACGTAGATTTAAGAAAAAATTTTCCTGTTAAAAATCGATCTGTAGTGTGCATGATACTCTCACAGCAACTTCGTGTAAACATAGAGCAGAAATTGAATCTGAAAATCAACAAAATAACAAATAAGTATGTCAAATATCATTCGTCGTCTAAGGTTACGCATTATTTGACTACTAGCGAGGAGCCTTTTTATAGGTGCTTGCATTTTCGCCCGCAATTGACCCATTCGTGCATACCTTTTTCCATTAGGAATGATGAATTGGATTTTTTCGACTTTTTAGGTAATGGATTTTCAAAATGTGCACTATATTTCGTAGATCCGACATCATTTTGCCGGCTTTATAACAGCTCCCACTAACAAAAGGTGATTGTGTCAACCTTCAGGCTATTAAATCAGCGTGATTCCTCCGTACAAGAAAGAAACGATGGAGGAAAATATTACCATGGTATCCTGTTGCATTCCATTAAGCAACATGAGTGCATCTCCATACCTAGTTCGCTTTGTGATTCTCATGTCTATTTGAAAGGAAGTCGCTTTACTGTATTTTTTTCAGATTTCTTTTAATCAAGATTCCCTAATTAAACTAGTAATTTTGCTAGAGTTTACGTAATTTAATCGATCGATAAATTGCATTATGCTTGGAAAAATCGATAGTCTTCGCAATTTAAGTGCAAGGAATCTTTACGATTTATTCTACATTCACTTTAGAGTTTATGTGTTTTTTTATTTAATGCGCAGTTTTTTAAATTTATCGATCTTTTTGAATGTCCTGAGTTTAGCCTCCCCATTTCTCCCCCTTGTAATCCTAAAAGGGCAGTCTTTATTTTCGCTTCTGCCTCGCTGTGTACGCATGTGAATTGAGATTTGTGTATGGACACGTTTGCCAAGTATTACAAAATTTCTTTATGACCAAATAATTATATTAATAAACTAACCCTTTAATCATCTATCCTGAAGTTCACTTGATTAAAAATGATCAATTACTGCTTGAATCAAGGTTATTAAGGAGTTTAAAGGACCTACTATAATATTTTGCCAATTAAGGCTGGAGGATGCCGAAATTTCAAGCTTTTCCAAGACTGGACACATTTTTATAGCTGTCATTTTTAATTTAAAAGTGTTCAGCAGATACCCACAGTGAATGTCCAAAATTATTCAATTTGGGAAGAAGAATATTTGCTCTATCCACTCTCATGGAAAACTCAAACTTCCACCGCTTTTGTTGACTAAAATTCCTCACTCCAGTTGGCCATCCACACCGGCAGATATGCACTGATGTGTTACTAAGCATTTATCAATATAACGGTTTTCTACTCATATAACTAAGAGTTGTGATTCCTTTTAAAGCATAAGGAAGAATGAGCTTATAAAATCATTTGACGTTGCCTATTTCACCTCCACGACGTCTTAACGGTTAAGCAAAGCCTAGCAGCTAACGTCTTCTACTCCTTTCACTATTCTGCGTCATCACATCAGAGCTGCATTCAGCTCTCAATCACAACCACTATGTATCCACCATCTATGCTAACTCTCACCCTCTTTCTCACACAGAGAAGGCCTTGTTTTGTCCCTCTTTTGGGTCGATGCGATCTAGTGAGTTAGTGGGGTGGGGAGACGAGGGGGGGGGGGGGGGTTGTGAGACACTCAATACAGTGGAGTCGCGTGGATGCCACTTCGTTTTCAAGGTCAACTCGAGCTCCATCTCCCTAGGTGTTTACACTTGCGTGGTTACGAATAATGTCATTAGTGGTCACTTGAGAGATAAACAATTAATGTAAACTTCGTTCACAAAAAATAACTGCGACAGACTGATAACGTGAAAGGAAGGACTTAATTAACCGCGCGAAAATGTAATTACATAAGGATCTTTATTTAACGAGTCGATTTGTATATAGCATCGCTGCTGAAATTGGAGGATTATTATTAATTATTTGCGTTAGAAGCCTAAACGACTGCTTCCTTCTCCTGACAAAGTTCTCAAGCCTTTTCTAAAGCAACGTAACACCTAAGAAAATATTAGATTTTTGGCTTGTTAATTTAAGCGATTACACAAATTGCAAATAAGAGAAAATGGGGAATAATTTAAATTTTTTGATTATATCCGTGTGACAATTTCATCACCATAGCGACTCCATCGTTAAGATGAAAAACACAGTAATCTCTTGCTACAAGTTATATCAATTAATAGAATTGTACCTTCCACCATCCAATATATTTTAGTGAGTATGCCTTCTTCCTCAAGCAGATAAGTTCTAACTACTTTGAGAAGGGAAATATTTTGGGCAAATGGCAGCCTTCGTTCCCTAAAACCAATAACTGTAAGACGAACGCCATCTACCGCTCAAGTCGCGATGGGTTTGAGAACAAAACGGAAAAAATAATGGATTACCAAATTTTACAACCTTCTTCCTTCTTCATCAGTAATTTATTATTGATTTCCATTCTTCTCTTGTCCAAATAATATGGTTGACCGGACATGGTAGCACAATGAAATTCTTGCTAAAGCTCAGGAGAGAGATCCTTGATTTTCAGGACTAAAAGGTTCAAATCTTCAATTTTTCGATTGGAATTTATTATTACCACTATCACTAATTTAGTCGTGAACTTGTCAAATGTGAAGCTAAAAAGAAGCATAATGGAATCCAGTCGCGCAAAATCTATGCTTGTAGAGAAAGCAGAGTAACAGGGTATATAGTAACCAGTTGAGGCTTCCTAACAGACCTTATTTTTGAAACAATCGATTTGAAGAAGTGAACACCCATACGTCTATAAACGCATTTTGGACCAGATGTCGACTTGTTAATATTGAAACGAAATGCTGAATGGCAAATAAGTTAAATAACGTCTTTTGTAAATTAGGCCGACTGCTTAAACGATACATCTGATCAAATTTAACCACTAACACAACGAATTTCCGTAGT